AGTACCATGCAAATATTTTCGAACAACTCTTCCCAAATACTTAGTTATTAGTTCGAACTTGACAATTTGACTATATTTTGCATCCACCGACCTTAAACAGGTTTAGCCATCATATTTTGAGTGTTGAAGGTAGATTTGTCCATGCGCGATTGAGGAGAAACCTTGATTTTGTCGGAGAATTGCTACACCCATATACTCAAGGTTGCACTCAATTCCCCTTTTATCTCAAGTACTATCTTGACTTCCAACACCATAAATGCATCTTGTGCATTTATGTTTTTTATAGGTGAATAAATACATTCTGACATTTTCTAAAGATCCTTGGTTGAGGTGCTAACTTCCGGTAGTTAATTGCAGTTTTTTGGTATAATTATTGGTTTTACTCAACTTGCTTAAACTGACTTATTTGCCTGAGGGTACTTTTCTATGCTACTGGCGCCATCCGGCATACAGGTCAGACCGTCCGCACAGGAGATACAAGGGATATTTAAAGTTTGACGAATCCGTTGAGATAACACTCTTTATGGAGACCTTTTTTGCGTATGAAAGAGCATGACAAAGTGATTTGAAAGTCGATCTCACCAGAAGACTACAGGTGATGCAGTTTACGAGATATCCTCCCTCGTTTCGGGTGAAAATGGGCCAAACATAGGCTGCAATAGCATGGACATAGTAACTGCCGGAACGCATTCTTGTAAAAGCTTCAAGTTAGCATCAAGTAAATAAAACTAGCCGGCTCCATCCCACATGCTATCCATATGGACAATTAAAAACGAAAATATACGGATAGCGTTAGAGAGCTATACATATATATATATATATATCAATCAGGATACTTATACTTAAATAAGTGTACGTGTGTGTGAGTGTGAGTATATGTATGCATGCAAGACAGAGTATGAAACCACCAGTCATAATTCGTCTGTCCAGGGTCATCAAGGTTTCGTAAATCGAGAAAAAGCATATCTGGCATTACGTAATCCTGTACATTTGTTTGGGTTGATGAGCTTATCAGAATTGCTGGACGAACGTGAACGTGGTCAGAGGCAACACTGAGCCGACCAGTTGAGTCGCTTTCTTTTGATCGGTGGCTAAGCGCAATCTCTGTCACGCTCTTCCTTGGGTCATTAAACCTTGACAACCCGGGTCTGAAATTGGAATCTCTTGTAATTAATCTGAGTTATTGTCGATATTGCGTAGTCTGACTTACACCCCACCGAGGTTAACACACACCCACACACGCACAGACCTGCACTCAAGTATAAATACTCTGATTAATCATTCTACATCATTCTATATCTATACATTTTGGTATTTAGCTACGAGTATATATTGAATGCATAAAGATTCGGATAGCCTTGTTGAGTGAGTTTTAACTTGAAGCTTTTGCAAGCTTGGAGGACTCAGACAACATCTTCTGGTGAGATCGACCTATGAATCTCTTTGTCATGCACTTCCAAACGAATTGAAAGCCTCCACAACTATTCGACACTGCAACTGATAATAAAACTTCGCCAAATTCTCTAGCTTGGCTTACGGCCAGCTCGTAAGGCAAGTCACATACAGCAGATTAAGGATACTCAACTTAAGCCTCTTCCAAGCCAAACGGATAAAGCATTTGTTAATGGGCTGTGAATGATGAGAAAGTAAAATGTTGTGCCTCAACTCTGCTTCTTAAATCTTTCTTTCTGAGAAGATGGCTGCCGCAGCTTCGAGATTAAACGGACCCATGTTGTCGGAATCTCGAGGAGGAGAAGGAGTAGGAGACGAAGGGGTAGCACAATTCCCCGGCAAAGAGGCGACAAAGAGCCCCTTCTGTGGATCGTCTCCAGGAGGCTGCTTTGCTGCTGGGCAACCTGCCAAACTGGCCGACGTCGACGTCGTCTGGTCGCTCGATCCGTCCAGATCCCTGGCTCCCCAGGCGCTGGACCAGTTCACCGAAGCACTGGTCCGTCTTCTGGACCCGGCCAGAAGTGCTCCTCTCCTGCCGTCGGCTCGGTCCACCCTCCACACCACAACAGCTCCACTCAACCTGGCCACGTCAACGCCGGCCTGGCATCTGCCCGCACCGATGGAGGAGGACCCTTTTGGGTCGTACCAAATTCAGGTGACCAGACGTCT